AAACGGAATTGCTTCCACTTCACGCCTGTCTTCTGTGTGGTCGTCGAATAAATATAAATGGAACAACGTGGTAAAGTCAAATTCAATACGAGTACATTAACTAAAAACTTAAAGTTAAAGTAAGAAGTTAAAAATATTTTTAATATTGCTGGCACTAAACAACTGTCCCCTTACTCTTGTCGTCATGCCAAAATGACGTTTTCATTTGCTATAGTATATTATAAAAAAGATATTAATAAATTTCAAATATTCCGTTAATTTCATATTTCTAAGCAAATTATGCCAATAAAAATATACATTAGTTCTGAATCTAGATAATTATCTTATCAAAATTTAATCTAGACATTAGAAGACAACCATTATATTTGATACTGGCTGAATTGTCATTTGAATATTTAAAAACTAGAACAAATCTTTTTCTCTGTTATCTATTATCGTCACTAACATTACGATTAGGTTAACTACAAACGGATAAAGTAGCCATTCTTACGGTAGAAATTACAAACAGTTGCTTTCTAAAAAAAAAGTTAAGGCTCTCTTAACACTCTTTGAAGACCCTGTTGGACTTAGCAAAGCTTAGTTATAAAATTCTATTTATGTCAATTATAGCTATTTTTAAATAAAAAAAAACTATATAATTTAGACCGATTTTACTATTCAATTATAACATAATGCGAGGACTGTTGTTTATGGCACAAACTACTCTGACCAGGTGGAAAAGACCTTGTATTTTACAAGGTATAGAAACTACACTAAAGTATGACGTAACGGTTACTTATCGGATTATATGACAAATGATGACATATATGAATTAAAAGTTGACATATAAAATTCGATATGACATCGGATTGTTTTGATTCATTATCATCATCGTCATCAGCTCACTATACATCCCCAATGAGGGGCTCAAAGCCTACCCTAAGTAAAAGGTGATTAGGCCATAGTCAACCACGATTGCCAAGTGCGGGTTGGTTGACTTCATACATATCTTTAAATTTCAACTCAGATATGTACCGGTTACATCACGATGTTGTCCTTTACCGTAAGAACGTCGGATAAATGTACATATGTAAATCGGAAAACGAAAAACACACTGGTATATGATGGGATTCGAACCCAGGATTGATTGCAAGTCAAGTGCTTGACCCCTGAGCCATTGACGCTCATTATTTTGATTCAGATTTATAGATTAAAAGTCTTAGTATAGGAAGTATATTAGTTCCGGATATGGTTTTATATTATCAAAACACTTTTAATATTATGTATTTCCAAATGCAGCTATTAGAATATTAAACACTGTCATAGTAAATTTAAAATTTAAATGGAACTAAGTGTAATTAAATACAAAACAACGCGTTTTAATACAACGTTATTTTTTGAATGCAAAAAAAGAATGTTGTATTTGAAAATTTCAATGCTATTTAAAATAGATAAAGTGATTTTACGTGTGAATATTTAAAGTAATATAAGTGTTATCACATTACGAGTTTGTAATATAATTCAAAGGTCAACATTGAAAACATTATTTTTGGTTTAAAAAGAAAGCCATATGTGGTAAGTCAAGATTTTTTTTATATCATAAGGCGGCAAACGAGCGATCGGCCATATGTAATCGCTGAAATAGCGAAGTGACCGTTGCCCATAGATATACGCAATTGCATATGCGTTGCCTACCTTTAATCGACGGAGGAGAGAATGGACAGAAATAAATATTTTTCCTTCCCATGCATCCTCTCATCCGGAAAGTCCACTTCCACTTCCCATCCTTTCCTTATAAGAAAAAAGGGCGGGAAGGGAAAGAAGACTAAATTAGGCCTCCGGGACGCACACTCATCAGACGAAACGAGGAATTGCTTCCACTTGACGCCTGTCTTCTGTGTGGTCGTGGTATTTTACCGGGCGAGCCGGGAAAATTTGTGCGAAGATGTTAAAGAGGGCTCTACCACTGTTAAATAGACGCATTGTTATATTTAACGTATAGGTTTGTAAATGCACTGTTTCGTAGTATTTACCATGGGTTTCTGAGACCAAAATATCCGTTTATAAAACATCCCTGTCATTATCTTTGAAAAAACTGAGATAACAATGTTTTAAACAGAGATTTTAGTCTCAGAAACTCACGGTTAGTAAATTAAAACTCTAAACAATTGTTATATACCTCCCTACCACAACCATCAGTGTTAATGGCGTTAATCAAATAAGCACAAAATAATTCGGCTTATGACCTGTCCATGTATAGAGGTCAGTGTTGTTGCACAACGAAACAATTATTATGAGAATGTATTAGACTTGAATTTGTTTTAGCGCATATTGTAAGAGCCAGACCACATAAGCGGATCGTCGATGTTGCGTTTTGACGTTCGACGTTCGGATGCATTTGATAGATGATAAAGTTTTATAATATAGAACATTACGCCGTGCATGATAATTTATTTCCGTATTGACATCGACAAAATTTGTATAAGATTAATCAGTAATTCTAAGAAGAAATACGTCTAAATATATATAACACTGAAAATCGAAATCATGGTTTCGAAATCATTTCGGGCAAAGGTTGAGCCTGGCCATCCAACGGGGAAATGCCGCCAGCCTCTTGGGAACCCTACCGTGCGACCGCAGCGATTTTGGGTCCTTTTTTATATTATTTAGTTTGGTTTAGTATTAGTATATAGTTTATAGTATTATTTTGGTAGATTAATTTTAATTTAATTAGTCACTTAATAATTAATATAGAGTTAAGTAATTCAATAGTAAGTTTTTGGCTTTAGTATAATAAAATCATGGTCCATTGCATTGTGTTGTTTAAACAATTATCTCCGCGATGTTACGCGGCAACGCACATGCAACGCTCGTGTGGCATCACTTATTGACGTCACATGCTTGTTTGTTTTCTAAAACAAAATACGTATTATCCTACAGATATATAAAGATTAAAATATAATACTAATTATAGAGCGGGCGTTTTCCTTGAAATGTTTTAAATATAGTCACAAAATTTGGTTCGTAATGTCCTGTCTATTCATTTATAAGTTAAATATCTTAGTTCAAATTCCATCTTGTATTATTTTTGTCAATAGCTACGTAATGTTTTTAATTAAATCAATTCAAAAGCTTTTTAGAGTTTTTTGATTGGTGAAAGGCGCATTATAAAAAGGCTAGCTGTCGCCTACGACTCCGTCCGCGCGGAATTATAATATAAAAAGCGTAATTGCCTATGTTTTCTTCCGGAATATGTTTTTCGTCTATGCCAAATTTTATCAAAAACAGTTGATTTATTCCGGAGATACCTTAAAACATCCATCCGTCTAAACCAGTGGTTCCCAAACTTATTTTGTCTACTGCCCACTTTGAGAATAAATATTTTTTTAGCGCCCCCATATTTTCACATATTGAAAAACCACTATAACTTCAAATTAAATTAATTAATTATTGCGACCTATATATGTATATTAACGGAGAATTCTAAACGAAACTTTTACTATAACGCGCAATTTGAGACCTGAAGCGCCCACAAGGGGGCGTTATCGCCCACTTTGGGAAAGACTGATCTAAACATTCGCATTTATAATATTAGTAAGTAAGTAAGATATAGCCTATTCTTGTAAGTTGTATAACAAAATGAGTAATTCTATTATTCTATTTAGCGTAACTAGGCTTTTAAACTCGCTAGCCTAGTGCAGATGAGAAATCTATCGTTGATTCGTAGGTATGTGCAGGTTGTATAACGATGTTTATCTTTACCTTAAGGATAAACATATGAAAAATAAATTGGTACATTTTTTTATATCATAAGGTGGCAAACGAGCAAGCGGCCACCTGAAATCGCTGGAATAGGGAAGTGACCGTTGCCCATAGACATACGTAATTGCATATGCGTTGCCTACCTTTCATCGACGGAGGAGAGGATGCACAGAAAGATAATATCTTCCCCTTCCATGCATCCTCTCATCCGGAAAGTCCACTTCCACTTCCCATCCTTTCCTTATAAGAAAAAGGGTGGGAAAGGAAAGGGGACTAGATTAGGCCTCCGGGACGCACACTCATTAGACGAAACGCGGAATTGCTTCCACTTCACGCCTGTTTTCTGTGTGGTCGTGGTATTTCACCGGGCGAGCCGGGCCAATTCGTGCGAAGGTGTTAAAGCGGGCTCTATCACTGTTACAACAAAAATATACAAGGGATAGAGCCCAGGAAAGCAACAGATAATTAACGAGCTCTTTTTAAGTTATTATGTAGGTCTGAGAATTAGAATGTATTAATATTTGTAAAGTAATTTATGCATCATCTTTCTTCTTACTAATATTATAAATGCGAATGTGTAGATTGATGAATAGATTTTTGTTAGAAGGTATGTCCGGAACGGCTGCATGGATGTCGCTGGTAGACATAGATGTAGAACATAGTCTGGAAGAAAACATAGGATACTTTTTTAATGTCGCGTGGATGGAGTCGCGGCTAACAGCTAGTATGGCTATATACTGATTTATCTTGCTTCTTATCAAAACCACTTATTCCATAATGCGCTATGGATATTATTCTATAAAATTGAAACACAAAATTATTGTACAAATAAAAAAAAATTAAAGTATTGAATCAAATCAACTAATATAATTATAGAAGTTTTTATATCTTTGAAAATCAAGACGCAAAATCTTGTTCGAATCCGTTATTGCAATGAAATAAAACCGAGTTTAATTGAAGTTAATTGCATTTACATTTTTATTAAAACATCTTAACAGTATTTACATAAAAATATAAAAAAGTAAAAAAAAAAATGTCATTTTATTATATTATTTACGGTCATTGACAGGTGATTTAAAGATGTTTAATAAATATATAATAAAACAGTTAAACTGATAAAACTTTTTAAAAAAATATTATTTAAAAAATGGTCCCAAATTTTTCAACATTCACAATTTTTTTTCCAATTTGGCAGCTTGACCGACTCTTGACCTTTATCAAGGGATTAGTATAAAATGGCGGAACTGGTCCATGTTGCATTTAGATTTCGAAAAGAACTCCTAAAGTGAGGCCGTTAGCGCTCCGAAACAAACCGAATTTATTTTAAAAAAAAGTAGCATGTTTCGCTTCGTTACTATCGCAGTGTTGTTCGCTGCGGCGACTTCTGAAGTCATATTTGAGGGGCCATGTCCCGATATCAAGACGGTTGACAATTTTGAATTTGAAGCTGTAAGTATAATACTTATTTATCAAGATATTTACCTATTACTTAAACATCTTGTGAGGTTTTCTATTTGATGTATGATCGAGGAAAAATATAATATTCTTATTTTTAATTAAAAAAAAAATTACTCAATTTTTAGAAATAAACAATTATAAAGTAATATTTTCTTTAATATCAACTACAGTCTATTTTTATAATGAAAATCTACAATTATAAAACCTTTAAATTAAAATTTAGACCAAAAAAAAACACAACAGAAAGGCAACCAAATTAAAAAAAGAAAAAATCCTTCCATATCTTCAAGCTAAGAATATTCATCAAAATATATTATAAAATTAAAACATTTCTTTTTCTTTAGTACGGAGGAACATGGTACGAAATGGCGAAGTACCCTAACGCAGGGGAAGAAAACACAAAGGGCAAATGCACAATCGCTGAATACACAGTAAACGGTGACAAGGGCAAGGTTAAGAACTCGCACGTCATTGATGCGGTCCGACACTACATCTCTGGTGATCTGACACTCGTCGCTCCTGGCAAGATTATGCTTACTTACACATTTGGAGGTAATAACATCACCTGTATCACTCAACATTTTACATGCTACAGCATGCTACATTTATTTTTAAAGGTCTTCTGTCTTTACTACTTTAGTATCCTTTCCAGAATTTTACTGACCTTATCCAGGTTCATCTGAAGCCCCGTTATATCTACAATATTTAATTCCATGGTGTTCATTTAGTCTTTTTTGCTTCATTATTAGAGTGAGGTTCAAGAGTAAAGTATTTCTTTGCTAAATTATATATTTCTTAAAGGTCAATCCAAAAACTCTTACCTGAACATCTTGGATACGGACTACAAGAGCTACTCTATCGGATACAGCTGCAAATACTTCAAGGATGGTAACAAACATCAAGGTAAATTATTTGGATACGTATCTTAAATTATTTACTCGAATGACTAGAGTAATGTCGCGGGTATAATAAATACCATTGTAACGTCCTAGAGCCTAAATTAAAGGACTGCTTTGGATGAATGTGGTGTCATACGATTCATCTTCTTCTCCAGAGCGTCATAGTGAATATTACATCGACATAAAACATATATAGTAGACGTAAGACATACAATTCTAAATTACTGAAAAAAAGTTGTATGGAGACGTGATCTCCAACCTTCGTTATTCGAAGAGGCAACTTAAGAAGAATAACTTTGATCTTGTTAAATCTTTTCTATGTTTTCCAGTGTTTAAATTCAACATTTTAAATCTTTGTTTCATAATATAGATTAATAGATGGCGCTGTATTTTAAATTTTTTAAATTAAGGTCATCGCAGTTATATTTTTTGTATAAAGAAAGTTGGATATACAAAAGTATAAGTTTATTGGAGATATACGAATTAAATTATAATATTTTGAGTGCAGTAAATTGCTTAGTAGATTAGTTGAATAAATTTAATATACGATAAATCCTTAAGTAAAGTGACATTGTGCGCGTTTATGTTTGACGATATTTACGATTATTTTACGATACGTAGTACCCTAAAATATAGCGAAATATATCAACAAAAACAATATGATAATATCACCACATAATTTTAATTTCTACTTGAAAAATAATAATGCATTCCTAAAAATTTCTTTATTCAACTAAATTTAAAGTATACCCGTATCACATTTAAAATAACTTCCATCTAAATTCATTAGTAATTTCATTCTATACGATTTTAATTTATGAGCCGTGTCTTACACTAATTTATTTTTAAATTCATCTGATAATTTAACGTATTTAAATATTAAAACAAATATTGTAGAAGAAAATGTTATCTTAATTGATTGATGGATTATCTAAAAATAAATAAGATTTTATTTTTTGTGACCTAAAATTCCAATTAAAATTTATTTTATTGCTCAATTCACTTTGCACAAACGAGCCATGTTACATTGGATGTTAATTAAAAACACACATATTAAAATATATTCATCTCTTTCTATCATTTAAAAAAAAAACAGAGATAACATGTTTTGTAATGGCGCTTTTGCAGTGCTTACAACAAAGTCGGTCACAAAATCATTCTAATATTATAAATGCGAATGTTTGGATGTATGTTTGTTAGAAGATATCTCTAGAACGGCTTAATGGATCTCGCTGATGGATGTGGCATAGATTTACAAGTCTGGAAGAACACATAAGTCACTATTTTTTTTTAATTTCGCGCGCACACAGTCTCGACAGCCAGTATTATTTTTTTTAATTATTTTGTAATTGGAATATTAAAATGTATAATGTTTGTTCCAGTCTTCGCATGGATCAAGTCAAGGAGCAAGAAACTTGATTGCGAAGCCAAATACAAGATCGACAACTTTTTAAGGACCTCCAAAGTATTGGATTCCGCCAAATTCGTTGTAAACGAACACACTGACGCCGCTTGTTCGGCACCCACCACCAAAACCATCACTGAGTTCCTTAAGTGAATAGACATATAGTTAAGTAGATAAAATAGGTACATATTGTCAATAAAAAACTTTAAAATGCAATAAATTCAATTGTTCCATTAACAGTAAATTACAGATTAATAAAAATAATATAACACAATTTTTCTTTTATTTTTATTGTTCATACAGGGGATTGTAATACGTCGGTACATACAAGTACGAAATCATATTTAAAAAAAATACATATTAAAAAATATTTTGTACCTCGCTCTATAAATGAACTGTTCTAATGTTCTTTAGAACTGAATTATAACGTTATTAATTTCACATTCGATTCATTATAATCGAATTTGAAATCGAAATAACGAATCTCTTTTAATGAATATACTCAGCGATAATATTAAGATTTTTGTTGAAAATGTTCATTTTAAATTATCTATGTAGTATTAATCTTCTTATATATAAAATTCTCGTTTCCATACTCCTCCGAAACGGCTTCACCGATTCTCATGAAATTTTGTGAGCATATTGAGTAGGTCTGAGAATCGGCCAACATCTATTTATAATACCGCGCGGACGGAGTCGCGGGCGACAGCTAGTAATTAATATATTTAAGACGTGCTTGCCTTGGCTGCCAATTTTATCCAGAATTTAAATGTCTAGATAACAAACAGATGCGATGATAAGTAGATTTTAAATCCATAATAATATAATAAAGACAAAAGATTTGGATTGTTTTGAATAAACTCTGAAAGTACTGAACCTATTTAAAATTTCCTTCACTGTTCGGAAGCTACACTGTCCCTGGATGACATTGGCTTTATTTATTACTAAATTGCTAGTATTTCCATAAAGCTTTTAAAGAGGTTTTTTTTTAAATGATTTAGTGTTTAAATGCGACATTGATTTTAAATATTCATTTGTTTTGTGGCAATAACAACAAATATTACGACAGTGGAAACCTAACAAAAAACGAAGATATCTTAAAATAGTTTTTAATGAGACAAACTATTATTTCACATAAGAATTCCATTAGTGAGCTAAAAAAACACTCGATAATTTAAAATAGTGGCCACAGAATTTTAATAAGTACAGTCAGCTGCATTAATATGTACATGATATTACAGAAACTTGTATTCTCCTTGGTTTTAAAAATATGTAAGCATGTATCCGTCCTTATCCTTCCATCTAAGAAAACATGCTTATGGCTAACATATGCATACATTAATTTGAAACCAAAAACGTATACAAGAATTTGAAGTTTTGTAAATGTTTACATTTCTGCAGCTGACTGTACAAACATTAATTTGAATATTAGCGATGAGTTAAGTTTAAAAACAAAATAACAATTGGTTTCGTAGATGACCTACGGTTTCGTAGATTCGTAGGTATTTCGTAGGTGAAACCAAAATTCTATTTCAGATAGATGTGTTTTTTTTATATTGAATAAGTCAGGGCTTGACTACGATCCCATCGATGTTAAGTGATGATGATGACGAAAGATGGTACGCTTAAGCTTAGTAAATGCTTATTCACTATACTCTTGAAGGCCACCACTTCATACTTAGACGGAAAAACTGACGATGGCAACTTGTTCTAATCCTTTGCACCTAGTCTTGTTTCTTTTCAAACTGGACTTCAAACGTAGTAAGAACTGGTATTAAAAAGTTGTTTTTCTACTTGATAATTACATTCTGATTCTTGTTGTTTTGTCTATTGCATACATTCAATGTTTTTAATAGGTCTTGTCTATTAATCAAAAATGTTATAAAATATGCACATAATTTTTTATAGTATAAGGTAGCGAAAGACGAAACAGCCTGCATTCGGTATAATAGCGAAGTGACCGCTGCCTTTGGACATCCATGTACAGATGCTACTTTTATTACAGAGGCGACGAACAGGAAAATCATATTTCTACATTCTATGTCTTCTCCAAATCCACCTCTTTCCGCTTCTTTTCTTATAAGGGGAAGCGAACTATACGGCATCCGGCAAATAATAAAACAGAATGTAATCTGGCAAGTTTTTTTTATCGTATTTCTTAAGATTAATGTCTGATCCGGTTGTTGTTTCCATGTATAAAATAAAATATAAAATCTAATTACAATGTTATGAATAGATCTTCAAAAGTCATCCGGCTAATGCGATTTGAATTTTATAACCTTGATATTTTTAATCGTTTGTCTTTTCTTTTTATAACATTTATGCAAATTAGATTTAACAATCGATTTTTCAATTTTTCATAACAGAATCAATCAATTTGTATACTGTAATTATATTCAATATTTTTTTACATCTTTTTAACATATAATTTAAATTTTTGAATTAATAAAGTTCAAGTTAACAAGCACTAAAGATCAACGTATCTTATATATATAATTCTCTTGTCAAAATGTTCGTTAGTACACTCCTCTGCAACGACTTGAATAATTTTTATGAAATTGTTAATGGGTATTCAGTAGGTCTGACAATCGACTAATATCTATTTTTTAATCCCGCGCAGAAGGAGTCGCGGGCGACAACTAGTTTCTATATAAAGTTTAAACAAGATTGCAAAGATTAAACAAAAAAAACTTGTACGTTAGATAAAAACGTTTGACAAAAAACTCAAAATTCCAGTCTAGAAACAATTTCATCGTAAAAATTCTAATAACAAAATTTGTTATTTAAAATTTGTTATTAGATATACATGGTGACCTATGTTATTTTGAGTTTCTAGAATCTAAAATTTATTTACTAATAATTTCACGCGGTTCTACGTCTGAAATAATACACCAAATCCATTTTTCTCTATTCCTTCCCTCGTATGAGGACTAAATTTAGGTATTCTGTACCAAATCAGTTATGCAAAACACATTTTCTCACCTGTCTTTTGTTTGTTATTCAACAGATATTTCTTTGCTCTACAAAAATGTTATAACAATTAACATAAGGTACAACGTCAAGTAGAACATAGAACTACTAAAGAAAAACATCGACTAACTCTATGTCTATGATATTCCTAAAAAACAAATGAATTGACATTAATAAAGACAAATGCAACAGACATACAGCCATGACAGACCTTTGCCTCTTGTAAGTGCGACAAAAAAAAACATAGAACGACTAATGAAAAACAATCAAACATAACCAACTCCTTGTCTACGATACTCCTAGAACACACCTTTGCCTCTTGTAAGTGCGGCAAAAAGAACATGGAACGACTAAAGAAAAAAAAAACAATAAAATACAACCACCTCCTTGTCCTTGTCCGATATCCCTAAAAACATTTAAAAATATTGGCATCAATGAAGACAAATGCAACAGACGTACAGCCATGGCTACTTTGCCTCTTGTCAGTGCGGCAAAAAAAAGAAAAAAAAAGTGAGTGGCGAAAAAATATACAGCTGCATAACTAAAAGCGTAAAAGACATAAACAAGTTTGACAGCTTTCAAGATTTAAAAATTTCGAAAAAATTTAATGATCAACGTATTTACTCTTAATTATTTAAAAATTATTGTAATGCAACGGTAAGTGAATGTTTGCATTAATATATGGGGTTATTGATAACCTGATTATGTCATTGGTTTTGAAATCGTACCTTGTATAACTGGCTGTCGCCCGCTGTGCGGAATTAAAAAAAAAAGTAGCAGATGTGTTCTTACAGACTATATTGTACATCTATGCAAAATTTCAGCGAGATCTGTTCAGCCTTTTGGAGATACCTTCTAACAAATATCCACCTATTCATCCATCCAAACATTTGCATTTATAATCTTGCTAATATTATAAATGCGAATGACGGATTTTGAATTAGAATTTAGATAGATGGATGGATGTTTGTTTGAAGGAATCTTCGGAACGGCTGCATGGATCTTGCTGAATTTTGGCATAGACGTAGAACATAGAAAGAACACATGTGCTGCTAATTAAGTTTTTTTTAATGCCGCATGGACGGACTTGTGGCTGACAGTATTAAATAACAAGTGAAAGTAATTATTAAATTTTTATTATAATCTGACTTCAAGGAGATAGTATGTAATGTCAGTCTTCTTGTAAACTTACATACACAGTTTTATCGTTTTTAAAGATATTATTCGATTCGTACACTTCGCCGGACTGTCTTAAGATTCTTGATTTTTTAATTACTTTTGACATGACATGATAAAATCGATGAAGCCAGCTGCACGCAAGAAAAAAACATGACTCATATCTGAACCGAGCGTGCAAGCGATAGAGAAGCACGATAGTTCTACGCGTTCGGTTTGTGATTACGTCATATTCTTAAAACTTTAAAGACAACCAATTTTGTATATTAAGAAGGTGGCAAAGGAGCAAGAAGGAGTGTCACGTGACCGTTGCACATAGAGAGAACGTAATCCTAATCCATATGCGTTGAATAAAAAAAAATGTTAATTAGTAGCCTATGTGTTCTACCAGGCCATCTTCATCTATGCCAAATTATGCATGATCCATGGACCTGTTCTGGAGTTACCTTTATATAAATATCCATTCAACTATCTAGACATTCGTTTTTATAATATTAGTAAGCTGTTCTCGCGACTTCGTCCGCTTGGTTTTTTTTTTATAACAGAAGGGGGCAAACGAGCAGCGGGAAAACCGAGGTGTTCAACGACGCCCACGGACAACAGCAATACCAGAGGAACCGCAGATGCGTTGCCGGCCTTTGAGATAGTGATAAGCTCGCTTCTTGAAGGACCCTAAGTCATAGCGGTTTGGAAATACCGCCGAGGACAGACCATACCACAACGCTGCTGTGCGAGGCAGAAAGTTTCGAGCAAACCGCACGGTTGTGGATTGCCAGCCATCGAGATGGTGTGGATGGAACCTGGCCGTCTGTCGTGTCGTCCGATAACGGAACTCGGTAACAGGAATCGTAATAATAATCGGTAATATGAGTATTCAATTGCTGATTAAACCTACACGTTATTCCAAATTTTTTATCTGTGTTCCAAATTTAAACCAGATCTGGTCAACCGTTCTAGACTAACATGGTAACAAGCATAAATAAAATGAATAAATACAAAGATACCAGGTCGATAACCGTATTTTTACTACCGGATTCATTACAGTAAACTGATATAATCAGAAAGAAACGAAATGGCTAATTGCTTTTTTGTGACTTCAATCAAAGTCAACTTTGAGCACTCATTTTA